GGCCCAGCTTCCATTAAAGCTAAAAGTATTTACTCTGGTGTTACAGCAGAAAAATGGCTGCTTCAGTTTCCATTTCAGGGAGGCAAAAGGATCACCTCTCCCTATCAATACCATGAACCTACTAGCACCAAATCCTGTATTTCCCATTTAACACTGAACTCAAACACAGATTCCACAGAAGCATCTTCCTCCCACAAATAAACTGTTCAATAACTTCACTAGTCAAAACCAAGCTATCTGGCACTGTGCTAAGTAAGGAATGGATACTTAGATGGATCCCTTAATCTTGTAAAGAAATACGTGTTTTCCCACATTCCTATGAGTATGAAAATGGCTCATGACATAAATAAGCAATAATTATGAAAAAGAAGAAACATGAAACAGATTTTCATTCAATATGAGAAAGAGCTTTAGAGCTGCCCAACAATGAATCTGGCTGCCTCAGAAAGTAGCTAACTCCCTTTGAATAAAATGTTCAAGCCTTGGATAGATGACCATAAATCAAAGCTATGTCATAAAGTCTCAGAAATTGAGATAATACCTAAGATTCCACCTAACTCTAATAAACTTCAATTCTACGAGATTAGCAGCATAGTAATATCTATATACTATTAATTGCTACTAGGAGAATTCAGACTTACTAGCCGTACTATCATAACTAGCCTCTCTACACATGGAAATTCATATTTACTATAAGGCAAGAAAGTATATTGAGCTTTTCAAAGATGATTAACAAAAGATAATTTATATCTTCACTCCTTTCGGGTAAGGAAGGGATCAAGGACTTTGGAATCAAATAACCCTCCATGAGAATCCTTGTCCAGCCACTATGTGACTTTGGACAAGTTATGTAACCTCTCTGAGTTTTTTTAGTTTTATAAGAGGGAATATCACCTAACCTCACAGGGTTGTTATGAAAATTTTGTTAAACTAAGTGCCTAACACTGTATAAAAAAGTACAGTATTCTCTTTCAAATCCTACCCATTCTTTAATAACCTGCTTGAAAGTTACCTTCTCCATTTTCTCCATGACTTTCTAAGCCAAAGTAATTTTTCTCTGAACTTCCAAAATTTATTTATAAATAAGATCACATTTTTGAACCCTCAATTATAGGAGAAAGTGAACTTGAAACTATATTATGGTTGTAGTTTAACAGCCTGATCAGAAAGTAATGCGACTAATGAATATCTGATTAACTGGTTTAACTATTTTTAAGTGTTCATATTAAAAAGTGTAGACATCCTTATTTGTGTACAAGTCCAGGCCCAAAGTAGTCTTCCAAATTCCTCCCCCACTGTATCCCTTCACAGATCTAAATGGACTAACCCTGACTTTGTCCAGACAATATTGTCACCTAGAAGCCTCTACACCCTAACCAGCCTCTGAATACCTGGGTATCTAACTGATTCAGCCATTAAAGCCCAATTCCAATGCCACTTCTCTGAAGCCATTCCTGAGGTCCTAGAGAAATTCTCTAATTTTTTTAAACTAACAAGAAAGACATTCTGCTTAAGCCTCAATTTTGCAATTTAATGACAACTGTTTTCATCTGTGTCTGTGTCCTCCCCTACTAGACTGTAAGTCTTCCTGGTGAGGGGATATCTTTTACCCTCACTGCATTCTACTTTATTCTTTCCCCAATCCCAACACTTAGCAAAGTGCCCATCAAGACACAGAAAAATGAAAAATATTTAATGACATCTAATATCCCCTAATACAACTGAAGCATCTTAAGGGAAAGAAAAAATGGCAAAGGAATAAAAAAAGAAATTGACACAAACTTCAGGCACCTATTTTTAAATTAAAACTGCAGATCAAGAATGTGTAAATCGTCAATGTTCATGCAATATAACATTGTATAGTGACAAAGGCAAACTATCTAAAAACTACATTACACAGTATAGACGAATCTGACAAATTATTTTAAGTGACAGAACCAGTCAAAAAAGGAATATATGTTGTATGATTCCATTTATATTAAATCTAAGAATATATGCTATTAGATACCAGGATAATGATTAACACTAGAGGAGGATGAAAGAGAGAGGCTTTTGGGATGCTGATAATATTCTGTTTCTTGATCTTGCAGCTGGTTACCAAGCATTCAGTTCAGTTATGAAACATCATAATATACATACTTTTCTATAAGATATTAATATTTAAATCAGAAATTTTGAAAGAGTTGAAATGTTTATCATTTCTCTGTTTTGAAAAAAATGTTAAGGCCAAGAATATATCTAAAAGCCTAAAAGCATTATCACTGTAGAAATTTATAATATTAACTATGGACAGTAGACCAATGCTTAATGCTGCTAGCAAAAACAATGCTATCATACTTTATTGTCCTTTAACCAACCATTTACTGCCCTTTTTTAAACATCTCATACCAAAAAAAGAGTCAAGTTAAAATTTAAATTAATTGCTCAAGATTTATGTCATTAATTATTATTTGTCACTGCTTTTCTCACCACACCCTACACGTTTCAGTCCTGTTCGAAGGAACTAAAACAGCTAAAGTTAACCTGATATAAAAAAATGAAAAAAAGTTTTTTGAAAAGTTTATTTTTTTATGTTTGAAAACTATGTAATATAGAATGACAGATACAATGTAACCAAAATATTTTGAAAAAAATAAAATCTAAGAAACTGGAGTTTTGTAATAGCTTGCTCATTCAGGTTAAAATATATTAACATGAACATTTAAATGGGAGAGAAATAACTTTTTTTAAATGTTACTTAAGCCACACATTTTAAAAATTACCAAACCTGATTAAATTAAATATTATTTGTTTGCAGCTTCACATATAATATCTCAATTTAGAAATATTTTAAAACAAAAATTATACACTATTTTGCTGATTTAAGTAAAATCTAGATTTTCATTACTAACTCAAACGTACCAACTAAAAAATTTTCAATGTGCTATAAAATGCCTTTGTTTCAAATGCTGTGGCCTGTAGTAAATATGCTCTTCTCATTACAGCATGAAATATAAACACAGCTTCATAAATGTGCTTTAAGAAACTCTGAAATGTGAATTTTAAAAGTCCAAATGAAACAGCTTGTATAATTTGAGGAAGGGAGAGACCATGAATGGGGACAGAGCTGACATAATCCTCACTCACTGCAACAGTTAAATAGAATTCTCAGTTCTCATATGATTTCTATTTAATTCAAGTATTATATGATGTATTTTATCTGGTATTTTATTCATTTCATTTAACTAAGATACATCTCAATTTATTGAGTTTTGTACTGATTACTTTCAATTTAGAGCTGCTAAGAATAATTATAGTTTACTTTGTATTTGCTAAGGAAAACAATTTAAAGAAACTATTTCAAAACAACATACTTCTGTAAAGCATAGCAAAAATACCACTGAAATAATGTAGAAGTGGTCTTCACTACAAAAAAAGAAAATCACATCCAAATAAATATTAGCATTCTGTGATCTCATGCTTTTAGTATTTAATTGGAATATTTTCATTTAGATGTCAGCAGATATATTTTAAACCAAATTTGGCAATATTTAGAGTAAGCCTTACACATCCTTGACATAAGTCTTACCTATTTAAATATTCAACTTTTTTCATAAAAAGGCTATAATTCACTTTGGAAATTTTGGCTGTTTTATTTTTAAAAAGAACTTAACTGTTTCCCACGGTGAACTGCATTGTATCTAATAAACTTTTAGGGTCATGAGTGATAAATAAATCAACAGATACAAATATCTATTAAAGTTGATATTGACTTATCAACTGGTAAGTCATGGTATTTTGTAATAGATCAGAATATAATACTTGGCTCAAATGCAACATGTAAACAATAATAAAAAGTTGAAAAGTGAATCTCTACACAGCATAAGTGCCATATGAGGACTATGGATGACTAAGGACAAAGTTAAACTTATCAAGAGAAATTAAGAATAAAGTAATTTAACAGTGATTTCACTTTATAGAAGAACTGGTTCCAAGACTGAATTAACTTCAAGTTCTATATTTTTTTAATTTTCTGAATCAACAGGCAAATTTCTTTGAAAATGTTAGCATTTACTTCACAAATTTCATTTTAAAAGTTATATATTATTAAAGGAACTATATTTTTAACAAAATGAAGTACTTTAGATAAAGAAGTCAAATCTATTTTCTGAAAGTTATGTTGCTTTTCATAAATAACTAATGAAAATACATCCTACAAAAATAAGCTTAATACTAATTAGGAGGAAAAAGCAAAGATGTATTCCCAATAATTGAAATGATCCAAATTTTAAAATACAGAAATATTTCACTAGAATATAATTTCATTTATTTAAATCTTATTTCATACACTTAAACAATTATTTCTTTAATATTAAAAACACTGCTTTCAACTAAAAGAAAAAGGTATGATTAGTAACTATTGACTCTCTTTTTATAAATCTCTTTTAATTCAGGAAGAATGACCTCCAAATAAAGGAATCCAATACTAAATGAAAGTAAGGGCTAAAATCAGTTTCTGCCCAAATGCAGAGTGACTGTAAACAGACATGTCAAATATACTAAATCTATGTCATGGATATACTTTACTCAGTGGTTAGGAATACACATGAAATTGTTACTTAGTTGAAAAATACTTTGGCCTTGATATTATTTGCAACTTATTAAAAAATCTTTGTAACCTCTCAAAAAAGAAAAAGAAAAAAAAAAATAAAGTACTTGCCCTGGAGTTCCTATACAATGTGAAAAAGCAACATTTTACTATAGCTGCGATATGGATTGATAGTTATTACCCCAACAACAGTTATCACCACCACAAATACTATAACCTAATAGATTTCAGATATTTAAAAGAGATTTTTAACATCTCAGTAAAAAAATACATGAAGTATTAACTTCACATATTTTTCTAAGGTTTTATATAAAACTAACACACTGGCATAAGACAGATACGATTGGGTTTTTTCCCCTCCTAAGATAATAAGTGAAAATTACCATAAACCATACTTTAACACAATACTTACCAGCACGTGGACAGTTTCAGAAGTTTACCATAAAGAGCAGTGCTGAAAGAGGGAATAATCGGTACAGGTATGCAGTAAGATCCCCTACAATCCAAAGAGGTCAGTCCTGCCTGGAAACCAAATATCTGCAACAAAAAGAAAAGATCCAAATGTTCACAGAGACAAAGTTTTAGTAAGCACAGGATGAAATACGTCAGTTTCAATTTGCTCTACAACAGCTGCACACTAAATATGTTCTGATGTCTTTTTCCACTTCCCAAACATCAACATTTTCTTCTATTAAATCTGACATTAACTAAGTCAGAATTAAGAAATTTAAATACACAATATTTCTTTCATATCCCTGCAAGATTACTCTTCTTTTGACCAATTTTAGGTTTCACATTTTATTTCTATACATAACTCTCATTTAGCATTTTATTGTCTGCTACAATGCACATATTCTCTGTTAAACTGACTACATTGTGCACATCACAGATACTGTTAATAAATCATTGTTATATCATTTTATTCCTAAAAGAATATTAACTACAACAAAAACAATCTTAGAAAGTATTTTGCCTTCAACTTACAGTATGCACACACAAAAAGGATATCCAAACATATCCTAAATAATGTTACATCTTTTCCCTTTCTTTTGTGAAAATAATGGTAGGGCTGAGGTTTTTCACCTCAGGTAATTTGGTACATGGCATAAATTACTCTTTATAAGTTTATTCTTAAAACTAGCATGTCACACTCAAAAATTTTATAAGCATTCCCTGAAATTCCTGAAAACTACATTTGCCTTAATAGGAAGAATCAATGTAACATCACATTTTACACGAAACGTTTCAGAGAACTGAATATATTTCTTCTTCCATTATTTTCAATAAAGTAAATGTCTCAAACAGGAAACACTGACACACAGAGATACAAAACAAAGAGTTACTGTTTTCCAACAACATGCAAAAGCCGTTTAACCCCAACATTTGTTTCATTATTATTTTTTATTCCTTGGGTTTATAAAGCACTAACTTTCTTATCTCTAGGATTAATATTAGCTGCTAAATTCTACAGTGAAACATGTTTAAAATATACCTCAGTAACTAATTTCCAATACAAAATACTTTCATTTAATGAACATAAACTAATGATCAATTTCTTAGAAAGTAATATTAAACTGCTTCCAAACAGTTTCAAAAAGCTATTCTGCTCCTACCATTCATCAAACTGACAATGTCAAATCTTTTCCTGTAAAGTCGGTTTTCAGTGAACGAAGTAACATTTTGGAAAATGAACATTAGAATTTTGTACTTTCAAAGAAAAACTGCATTTCAAAGGGCCTACCTACTTAATTACTATCAAGAAAAATGAAAGTGATATACCTATTGATTACTATAAATCCCACTATTAACCAAGATGCAAGAAATAAAGAACTGAGAAGAAAAAGAAAAAAGCATGTTTCTAATACTTAATTGATCAGCCTTAAAAATTAAGTTATGCCACATTTATATTCTTTGAAGACTTGCTCTAAGCAACACTATATGCAAAGAACTTCTGGGCACTGTACAATTTCAGCATTTCATATTTCCTCTGAAAGGGCCAATATTTAAAAGTTTCTGAAATTTGCAATTATTAATACCACTTAATACAAAGCATGATTATTCAAACGATGCCCAACCTCCAAATATTTCTAGAATATGAATCAGGGTAATACTTTATCAAACTAGATTATCTGTGTTCAACTAAGAACTCTCTCGAGTCACCTTCTAATACTCTATAAATGTCCCAACAGTATAATCACAGACACTATCATTAATGTACTCAGATGGAAACTGGATGTTGAGGAGATCCCCTGCTGGTTGTCTGCAGAACTGCAAGGGACTTTGGGGAAGGTCCTGCATATTATTCTGTAATTTTTTTAAGTTTTTACTAAATGTACATGTTGTCCAGAGATGACTCCAGAGAACATTCAAGCAAGTATAAATTACAGTGAAATCAAAAATAATTATTTCAAAATAACCATCAAAAATAATTATTTCAAAATAACCAATTTCAACTCTCTCTTTTAAATCACAGCAGTAAGACACACAGATTTACAATACCTATATAACCGAATAACTTGTCAACAACCCTTGACCAAGATTACAAATACTTTATCTAGAAAAAGGAAAACCAGCACAGTATGAATTGAGGTTGTTTTCACCAGGATTGTTCATATATTCAGAAATAGAATAAAAATACTTATTAACAACACTGCAAACCAACAGTTTGAGGCATCAAGAATGTATGAAGCAGTAAGCGCAACTACTAATAGAAGTTTTAGCTGAAGGAAATGCCAACTTGACTAAGATGACTTACACATGACATTAAATGGAAAGTTAAATATGCAGTGCCACCTTTTAAAGAATCCAATAAGAAAACAATTTAACTAAATCACCTCATTTTACATATGGGAAAAATAAAGTCTAAAAAGGATAAAGGACTTCTTCATAATTACCTATTGCTGGAACAGCAATATGATGTTTCATCTGATTTAGCTCATCTATTAGCTCACAATTTCACTCTGCCTTGCTTCCTCTCTCTATTCCCTGCTTCCCCTCTCCAAAAAAATATGGCTGATTCACCACTTACTCTTAAAGAAAAAACAATCTTTCTCATCACTACCTCTCCCCTCCAACCATCAGTAAAATTCCATTTCTCATCTGTCATCAGCAAAAATCTTGAAAAAGTAGGCTGGAAAATGCCACCTTTTTTTTCATTGCCTACTCATTCCTTAAACTCTCTAAATCTAGTTTCTATTCATGTATCCATTGAAACAAAAAGAAACACTGGACTGAAACTGATACTTATATTCTTTTCTTATGGAGAGAAATTAAGTATTTTCTCCTAATTTTTTTCCACCAACAATTTAAGTGAGGAAACAATAAATAAGTAATTTTTTTCATTACTCAGAATTTTTTAAATGAATGTCATGTTGTCACCTATACTTTTAATGAAATAAAATCCTTCAGAATCCACAAGGAACGCTTACAACTCAACAATAAAAAGACAAAATAACTTCATTTTAAAATGGGCAAAAGATTTGAATAGATATTCTCCAAAGAAGATATACAAATGGCCAAGAAGCAGATGAAAAAAAAATGCTCAACATCATTAGTCACTAGGGAAACATATATCAAAACCATAAGGAGATACCTCTTCACAACCACCAAGATGATTAAAATCAAAAAGACAGTAGTAACAAGTGTCAGTGAGGATGTGGAGAAATAAGAACCCTAATTCACTACTAGTGGGACAGTAAAACAATGCAAGAATCCCTTTGGAAAAAAAAGTTTGGCAGTTCCTAAAACTGTTAAAGATACAGTTACCATAGAACAGGCAGCTCCACACCTAGGTATATACCCAAGGGAAATGAAACCTGTGTTTATACAAAAACCTATACAGAAATGTTCATAGCTATATTATTCTTAATAACCAAGAACTGGAATCAACACAAATGTCCACCAACCAGATAAATGGATAAACAAAATATAGTATATATCTAAACAATGCATTATTCAGTCATAAAAAGGTAATAAAGTACTGATACATGTTACAGAATAGATGAACCTTGAAAAACATTATGCTAAGCAAAAGGAGCCAGCCACAAAAAACCATATGCTGTATGATTCCATTTATATGAAATATCCAGAATAGGCAAATACATAGAGACAGAAAGAGATTAGTGTTTACAGGGGGTAGGAGGAGTCAATGGAGAGTAAATACTAATGGTTTCTTTTTGGGGTGATGAAAATGTTCTGGAATTAGATAGTGGTGATGGTTGCTTTAACTCTGTGAAAATATTAAAAATCACTAATTTCTATTATTTAAAAAAGGTGAATTTATGGTATGTAAATTATTTCAATAAAATTATTTAAAAATTTAAAACCTTACAACATAACTAAAGTTTACCTGATCCATGACCCTCACGCTAGTCTCATTGGCACCCCCACCAAGCCTAGATGCCCAGATCGCCCAAATCTACTTTCAGGAGTTCAGAACGTATCCCACCCTTTTGTTATACCTTTATAAACCCTTTTATATCTGTGAACAATCTTTAGCACTATTTTGTTTTCTTAATTTACATAAATGGCATCATACTATATATACCATTATGCTTCCTGACATTCCCACCAAAAATTATGCCTCAGAGAGCTATCCATGTGGGTATTTATAGACCTCTAGCTGTACATATCTGCATATGCAAAAATTTCTCTGGGACAAGGGTCAACAAACTACAGTATACAGGTCAAATTCTAACCACTGTCTGTTTTTGTACTACCTACAACCTAAGAATAATTTTTACACATGTACATTTATAACTGAACTGATGACAGGGAATACTAAGTTGAAACCCCAATTAGGTGAAATGTTATCCCAAGAAAAAGAATTCCTTCTTCTCATTAGTAAAACTGTATTACAAAAAAAGAGTCCTATCTTATATTTTGAATTCTGTCAACTCAAGATTCATGGAAATTTGTTCTATTATTTAAGTACCTACACAATATCCTAAATTTTCCCTCTTGGCCCACAAAGCCTAAAACACTTACTATCTGAACCGTCAGAGAAAAGTCTGCTGGCCCCTGCTATAGTTATATATATTGAAAATTGGAATGGATGGGTGTAAGGTAGATGTGTTTTCAAATTTATTAGATTCTGCAAAAGCACTCTCCAAAATGATACCAATTATATATCCACCAGCCATGTGTGAAAGCACAATTCCTTGAAACCCCCAGGGAAAACTATTTACTGGAGGTCAAAAACTCCCAAATCCAAAAAATTCAAAGGGTTTTGATTCTACTATAACCTTCCTGATCTCTCTGAAGCATCTGCCATAGCTGATCCTTATGAGTAAAAGGCCTTAAATTTATATATTTTTCTATAGTTTACATAATGCTTTCACTAACTTATTTTTTATATATGTTTCAAACTTTAGGTGCCTTTCAATGTCTTAGCTACTTGATGCCACACTTATTCAAAAATGGGTTTAGCATTTAAATACAGAGGACTTGGTAAGACATATGAAAGTTTCACCTGCATATTTTCTTCCATGCCAACTCTCAATTAATAAACTTCATTACATGAAGTGGGAACTATATACTATTTTGTCAAATAGTCAATACAGTCACATTTACATACACAAAATTAAAACTTAAGCATTTATTTGAGTATTTAATTGAAAATTACTTGAGTCTAAAATGCCAAAGACACATGAAATAGACATCTAAATTCTCCACTGTAATATTTCAACACTGTAATAATGAAAATTAAACTTTGAAAACTTCCTCAAAGGTTACAGTAATCATGCCAAGTAACATGAACTGCTATAAACCTTAAAACAAATCGGTATTTTTCGTCAGTTCCAAACAGTCACAAAACTAAAACGCTCTACCAAGTTCTGAAAGTTTTTTTAAAATGTACTAGGCCACTGAAGAAGCACCAGAAATGCAATGAAATTTTTTTTAATGTAATCAAGTGGTCAAGACTAAAGACTTTATTTTTTAGAGTATTCAATATTCTTTTTTTTTCTTTTTTTTGCTGTACGCGGGCCTCTCACTGTTGTGGCCTCTCCCGTTGCAGAGCACAGGCTCCGGACGCACAGGCTCAGCGGCCATGACTCATAGGCCCAGCCACTCTGCAGCAGGTGGGATCTTCCCGGACCCGGGCACGAACCCGTGTCCCCTGCATCGGCAGGCGGACTCTCAACCACTGCGCCACCAGGGAAGCCCCGAGAGTATTCAATATTCTTAATACCAATGAAAAGTTTTTCTACATATATTATACTATGCCCAACACCTGACTTCCTGGGACATTTAACTTATCCATTACAGCTGTAATCAAACTTACCAAAACTTTATCTAGACTACACTGTAACTCTTAAATTTCCCTGGAAATTCAAGTGAGCATTTAACATATTAACAAATAGTAGTGGTAAACAACTATTCCAATAACTTTTATGTCAGTATGAATGACAACCATATTGGTGACCAATAGCTTAGGTGACCATTTTCCTTGAGGATAGGGCATCCCTGTTTCATCTTTAACGCTGAGTGTCTGCAGTATGGAAAGAACTCAGTATTTACCAAATGAATGAATCCCACGAAAGTAGAATACCTTGGAAAGAACTGCCTAAAATTATACTTGCTTTGATAAAACAAGGCAAATATTCTTAACAATATAACCTGATATTCAAGTTGTGCCAATATTAAAAAAAAATCATACACCTTGGTGTATTAATCGTGGGAGTGAATAAAAAAAGCACAAGTATGTATCTAACTTTCAAAAATACCTTCTGCTACTCTCCGCATGACATAAAACACTTGTTACAGATCATTATAATAATTATGTCCAAAGAATCATACTTTCCTATGTCCACACCCCTTTGTAACATAATACTGTCAACTCCTCCATCAAGGAAGTAGAATTTCCTTCTCCATCATCTTAAAAATGGGGTTTGCATGGACATCTAGAAAAAGATGAGTTTTTCCACTCTACATGGTTTGAAAACAATCAAATTTTAACACCTTAAATTTAAATATGCCTGGAGGTGATCTAAAACTAGTATCTTTAAATTGCTTTCTTTTTACTCTACAAAGACACAAATATTGGGCTTCCCTGGTGGCTCAGTGGTTGGGAGTCCGCCTGCCGATGCTGGGGACACGGGTTCGTGTCCCAGTCCGGGAAGATCCCGCATGCCGAGGAGCGACTGGGCCTGTGGGCCATGGCCGCTGAGCCTGCACGTCCGGAACCTGTGCTCTGCAGCAGGAGAGGCCGCGACAGTGAGAGGCCCGCGTACCAAAAAAAAAAAAAAAAAAAAGACACAAATATTTAAGAACTTCAAAACATCAAACTATAAAGCATGAAACAATAAAGCCAGGAGTTTATTTTTGGAGTTCTCTAATTTTCAGTACTTTACATAAAATTTAGTGCATTTTTAGTACTTTTTTTTTTTAACATCTTTATTAGAGTATAATTGCTTTACAATAGTGTGCCACTTTCTGCTTTATAACAAAGTGAATCAGTTATACATACACATATGTCCCCATCTCTCTTCCCTCTTGCATCTCCCTCCCTCCCACCCTCCCTATCCCACCCCTCTAGGTGGTCACAAAGCACAGAGCTGATCTCCCTGTGCTATGCGGCTGCTTCCCACTAGCTATCTATTTTACGTTTGGTAGTGTATATATGTCCATGCCACTCTCTCACTTTAGTACTTATTCTTGATTTCAACTTGACATAGCTTCCTTTAGTCCATAAAACAGAATTTAATTAGGTAGATGCTATCTCTACTTAGATTATACATGTGTATTTGCTTAGCAAAAACACTTATTACTCAACATCTGAGCTTATCTATTTGTAAGTACCTACGGTGGGATGTATCACATATTTATTAAAAAAAAAAAAGAGATGGAAGAGCTGAGCAAAGTCTCCAATAATTAACTTTACATAACTCGATTTAAAGTAATAAAGTTTTCCTTGGCATTAAGAAATTAACATGAATTCAATAAGAGGAAAATAACTAAAAAAAAATGTATTAAACTTGCTTTATAAAACATTGTCTCTCACAAATATTCACCTCAAAGAAATCATGAATCTTTTAAAACATCCTTAGTGCTCTTTTACATTGCTTATAATCAATGATATATGCAATCTTCAAAAATTATAATTACTATTATCTTACAGATATCAAGCTACTAACACCAAATAATTGAAGAAATCTTTAAAATAGGTACACTTTTATTTTTATATTAATTATGCTGAATAATGAATATACCTATCATATCTTATTTAAATCTCATCTTACAGGGTACTAATTCTGTAAAATTACAACTCTAAGAAAAAAAAGATTTATTTAATTCTCCCGAAGCCAACCAAATACTAATACACAAGAAAATTCACTTTTCATACCTTAAGGTAGCAATGTGCGTAGCAATAATGAAGCAGATTATCAGAAGGCTGAGTAAGGCTGCTGACCACATGCACCAAATGTTCAGCATACATCGGCACAGAATGTTCCAGATTAATTTTATCCACCAGTATCTGAATGGATGGCAAAGGCCGAAGAGACTGGAAGTTTGTAGTATTCATGAAATTACTTGAGTTCTAGAAAATAACAGTGTTCACTTTATATTTCAGGAGAAAGTGACTGATGTGCAATGCCCTCTATACAAGCTTCAGAGTGACACATTATGCAGTGATATCAAATCATCCTAGAAATGATGCCTTTCTATGGGACTCTCTTACTGTAACCAAATAGAAACACCTTCTACCTATTTTTAGGTATATCCCAGATTTCAAAGAATGCCTATTTACTGTGAAATTATCAATGCCCTTTTAGCTAAAGCTTTTTATTTTTTCAGTCAACTAGAATATTGTCACAACGTGCCTCAGTACATTGAAGGTATTTTCTTAAGCTCAATAATTCACACACACAAAAAAATCCTAGATATTTCAGAGCCTTTATCTTCTTTCCCTTTATACACATTTAGATGACTAAACGACTAAGTGCACTACTCAAGACAATCTGAAAGATACAATAAGCAAAGTTTACAGGACAGAAAAATTTCCAATCCACATCATATCTACTAATATTAAACATGCTAAAGGCTCATAAAGTCCTAAGAATCTCGAGGTAGGCTTCATATTTTCAGCGTTACAGAATCTTTCTAAGCTTCCAAGTAAATGGAGATAAATTTCAACATGTCCAGGGTATGAACCCAATTAGCAAGCCACCCCTTCCAGCCCTTGAACTTATTCCCATACCTGTAGCTCTCAATGAGGAACAGTATGACCCTCCATCCAGAGGTGTGGAAAGAACAGTTTAATTGTTTTATCTGTCTTTCATTATCATAATAATAAGGGAACAGTACTGGCATTTAGCAGGCATTGGCTAAAGATGGTAAAACTACATAATACTTCCCTAGTCCAAAAAGCCAATAGTACCATTATTGAGAAACACTGTGCCTAAAAATAAGTTGAAGATACAGTTCTTCCTTTTTGACTCATTAATAATTTTTAAACCATCACATATTGAGCAATTACTTTAGTAAGGGACTTTATTTTGGATTATTGAGATACAATATACAGTAAAGCACAAAATCTTAAACATAGAGCTCAACAAATTGTTATGTATGTAACCACCACACATTTCAAGCACCCTAAAAGGGTCTCCTATATCCCTTCTCAGGTAATATCAAATCCCCACCAGGGGTGGCCAATATTCTTTTGTCTGTTCTTCGACTTCATTTAAACAGAATCACACAGTACATACTCATGTCTGCCTTCTTTCATTCAACATATCTGAGAATTATCTACTGTTCACTCTTTGAGTTAACACTTATCATTATGGAATGACTCTTTATTTCTATCAATACCTCTTGTCTTAAGCTCTACATTTTCTGATATTAAAATAGCCACTCTATCTTTCCTTTGATTAGCACTTAAATGGTGTATCTTTTTCCATCCTTTTATTTCTAGTTTGTGTTATAGTTTTCAGCTCCAGAATTTCATTTCGTTCTTTTTTTAATGGATTGAGGTCTTTTGAAATCTTCCACTTTTTTGTCTCTTTCTTGAACTTATTAACCATAGTTAAAGTTCATGCATATACTGTCATATTTCAATTCTTCTCCACTGAAATTTTCCCCAGATGATCTCTTTAACCCAGCAATACAATGAACAATTATGAGTGGCTGATAGAGAGCAAATACACAAAATGAAACTGTTATATCTTAATTCTCTGCCATACTTCCATAAGTTCGATTTAAAGTTAGGACAATTTTTACTTCCATAATCATCATCATGTCACCATTAAAAGACATATAACCCCCAAAATAATAAATTAAAGATAACAGATAATACCTTATATGTATATGGCAGACTCAGAAAGCAATACATTGTATACAGACCTAAAATATTAAGCAACTAATAAGTCCTCATTAAGAAACACAGTAATAATCACTGGGTTCCTAACATGTGCAAAATGGTTTACATGCATTATCTCACTGAATATTCAAAATCATTCTAGGAGCTAGGTACTTTGGGGGAACTGCTCTATGCCAGCACCCAGACAATCTTAAAATCCATGGAGCCCACAAGGCAAGGCTAAACCACACAAGACCTAAGCCTTGGTGGAGCACCCTATGATATTATCAGAACAGGGGAAAATAGGCGGTCTTCTGCAGAACTGCTAAAAGACCATTTCTCAGTCGACTTCTCATCTTGAGAAACACTGCTATGGGGAAATTTTCTCATCAGCATCCCTCATTCACGGGGCTTTCCATCCACTCTCTCAGAGTACAGCTGTAGGCTATATAACTGCTTAGGTGCAGTGTGGAACTGAATCCTTGTCAACAAGGTACCCTACCATGTGTCCTGCAGGTCATTTGGCGCTCTAGATTCAGGGTTGTCCTGAAAGGGACAAGGCAAGCCAACACCATTACTGATTTGCTTTTGCTGTCTATGTAAGTAATAAACTATCTGAATCTATCAGGGCTTTTTGCTTCTTTACTGGCTGACTCTGTCAGCCTACATGAAAAATATAATTTTCTTTTGTTTTTCAGAAAAGGAAAACAAGGCTTAGAGATATAAAGCAGTGTCCTAAGGTGTCATAGCTTGTACATGGTCTGACATCAAGGCAAATGCTCTTCAACATTTATTTATAGAGCCTTAGCTTGAGGTTATTTTTTTAATCTATTTATTTATTTATATAATATATATAAATTATTTTCTAAGAATTAATAATCGTAGTTACATTGCTTTAACTTCATCATGGATAACTATTATATATAGCCAGATATTCTGATATTCTATTACTTAATCAACTTCCTCTTACAATATCACAGGACCAGTAAATATACATGTATGAGAAAACAAGTAGTGAATGACAAAATATACCTTTTCTCCCATAATGACAGGTAGCAAATGATCCAGCAAGTTGAATTCAGCCATGAAAATTGTGAAAGTACATTTGAGGAGAGTAATACTTGTATGTCGAGTAGGAATATATTCCTCCAAAGATGCCACTTCTTCAGGATTCAGCATTGTTTCACTTTCACCCTTAATATCTAAAATGAAATAATAAAAATGCAATGAAAATTTATTTTTAAATAATTTTCTTAATTAATGAAAAAATTAATTAGTTCTCCAAATTTTAAGGTCAAATTCTTTTTTTCAACAATGAAGCAGTTGTAAAAATATTGCCTTAAAGAAGAATAAATTACTCTAGAAATGTATGCCTTTGCTATGTAAAAATTTGTTTTATATTTTAAAATATTTCTTAAATACTTAAAAGAAATTTTTAATCTCTGTCATCAAAAGAATAACAGCTTCCTTTCATAAAAACACCACTGAGATAATGCAAATTCAAGCCACAGACTAGGAGAAAATATTTGCCATAGACAGACACATACATAGACATAGGTATATGCATAAAGGACTTGTACGCACAGCATATTAAAAATTTTAAACTACCTAAAAATCAAAAATAAACCAATAATTCAATGGAAAAATGGGCAAAAAAGCCTTGAACAAGCAAAAGATAATATATCCAAATGGTCAAAAGTTATTTCAAAAGTAAGTTAACATTGTTAGGTATCAGATAACTGCAAATAATGTCACGATGTGGTAGCACTACACATCCACTGGAAAAGCTAAAATGAAAAAGACTAAGAATACTAAAAGTTGGCAAATACATATCAGCAAACTTTTTCTATAAAGAGCCATATAGAAAATACTTTAGGAGGGACTTCCCTGATGGTGCAGCAGTTAAGAATCCACCTGCCAATGCAGGGGACACAGGTTCGAGCCCTGGTCCGGGAAGATCCCACATGCCAAGGAGCAACTAAGCCTGTGCGCCACAACTGAGCCTACGCTCTAGAGCCCACGAGCCACAACTACTGAAGCCGGTGCTCCACAACAAGAGAAGCCACTGCAATGAGAAGCCCACACACCGCAACAAAGAGCACCTCCTGCTCTCTGCAACTAGAGAAAGCTCATGCACAGCAACGAAGACCCAACACAGCCAAAAATAAGTAAATAAATAAAATTTTAAAAAAAAGAAAATACCTTAGGGGACTTCCCTGCTGACACAGCGGCTAAGAATCCACCTGCCAATGCAGGGGACACGAGTTCAAGCCCTGATCCAGGAAGATCCCACATGCCGTGGAGCAACTAAGCCCATGGGCCACAACTACTGAACCTGCACTCTAGAGCCCGCGAGCCACAACTACTGAAGCCCGCGCGCCTAGAGCCTATGCTCCGCAAGAAAATCCAGTGCAATGAGAAGCCCGTGCACCACAACGAAGAGTAGCCCCCGCTCGCCAAAACTAGAGAAAGCCCACGCACAGCAACGAAGACCCAATACACCCAATACAGCCAAAAATTAATTAATTAATTTAAAAAAAAATACTTTAGGCTTTGTGGGTCATACAGCTTGCCCCAATTACTCAATTCTGCAACTGTAGTACAAAAGCAGTCACAGACAACACATAACTAAATGAGCAAGACTATGTTCCAATAAAACTTTACCTATGAAAACTGAAAATTAATTTTCATATAGTTTTCATGTGTCACAAAATATCAATCTTTTTTGTATTTTTTCCAACTATTTAAAATGCAAAACCCATTATCAACTCTTAAGCTGTACAAAAAGAGACAATAAGTCATAATTTGCTAACCCCCTGATCAAGGGCAACTAAAACTCTCCTACACTGCTGGTAGGTGTGTAAAGTGATTCAACCAAATTGAAAACAGTTTGGAGATATTTACTAAAGGTGAACATATATGATCATTTTACCTAAGTGATTCCACCCTTAAATTCCCAACAGAAATTAGTATATAGGTTAATTAAAAGGTATGTACTAGAATGTTGGTAGCATCACTACCATAATAACCAAACACTAGAAACTAACCAAATACTCATCAACAGTAAAATGGATAAATAAGTTATGGTATATTCACAAAATGGGATACTAAAAAGAAATGAGAATGAATCCCACAAACATAATGTAAGCTAAAGCCACAGCAAAAGAGTATATACTGTGTGATTACATTTACATGAATTCTAAAATATGCCAAACTAAATCTAGGATGTTAGAAATAAGGAGGGTGGTTACCCTCGGGGTTCAGAGTAATAACCAAAAGAGGGCAAGAAGGAGAATACTGGAGTTCTGGTAAGGTTCCATTTCCTGAACAGTTAGCAACATAGATGTGGTTAAGTTTACAAAATTCACAAAACCATACCCTTAGTTTTGTGTGCTTTCCAGTATGTATCTTATACTTCAATAACGAAGTAAAAAAAAAAAAGGGAGGGGGGGAACTGCTAACTACTCAGAGAACTGCCTGTACAAAGTCAGTTAGCAGCAGTTGCTTTATGGAGATCATAAATATTTCTGAAATGATAAACTGCTTCAGGTAAAAATTCATTTAATACAAACGTGTGTGTGTGTGTGTGTGTGTGTGTGTGTGTGTGTGTGGCGTAATTCCACTGTGGAAGAGATTGCTAATTGCAATCTTTTCTTCTTCCTTTTAGCAATAAAACTCTCTGAATTTTAAGTGAGGTATATGGACTCCGTCTAGAGAATACATTTTCCAGCCTCCCTGGCTGCTGGGTGCAGGGACATGTTACTAAGTTTGGGTCAATAAGATGACAGAGCCATGTCATTAAGTGAAACTACATGACTACTGTTTTCTCTTGTTCCCCCTTCCTGTTGATTAAAATTAGACACTGTAATGGTGAGCCAACATTGACCATGTAGATAAAGTATACCTCAGAGGATGGTGGAAAAACAAGATAAAAGGAATTCTGGGTCTAAGACCACATCATGAAAGAGAGTCACCCTAGTCCCCTGGAGTACCTACTAGCTTGGGTTTTAACATGAGAAAAATTAATTATATACTGTTTTTTGTATGAACATTAGTTCTCACTTCTCTGGGATAAATGCCCAGGAATGCAGTTGCTGGGCTATATGGCAGCTGCATGTTAAGTTTTATAAAAAACTGCCAAAACGTTTTTAGGAGTGGCTGTAACATTTTATATTCCCACCAGCAATGAATCAGTGATCCAGTTTCTTCACGTCCTCCCCAACATTTGGTGCTGTCACAGTTTTCTGTTCTAGCCATTCTGTACATACTATCCTAGCACTTATCAGAGTATCTGGCAATGCAGCAGGCATTCAAGCAAGGTGCAAGAAATGAATGCATGAACATATCAAGCACTTACAGCACTATGTTATGTGATTTTACATGCATTAGTCTTTGGAAGTAGGTCCTATAAGTGTATCATTTAGGACAATAGTAAATTTGCTGTGACAAGAGAAAATAACAGAAGTGTCAACAAAAACAATGCTTATTTCTCTTTCACTCAACAATCTGAGTCTAGAGGATCCATGGTGCCACCACACTACTGAAGACTTAGGCTCTCTCTATCTTATTGTTCTGTCATCCTCAGCATGCAGTTTTCATCTCAGAGTTGAAGGTAGCAGGTCCAGCCCTGCCATTATAATTGCTTTCCAGCAAGAAGGAAGGGGAAAAGTAAAAAAGGAAGGCACACTCTTTTCCTTTTAAAGTCCTGTCGCAAAAATTCACATGAAGTATTGCTCCCATCCGGTAGCCAGAACCTAGTCATATGACGCATTTGGGAAGTGAAGTCTATTTCTATCAAGAAAATTTCTACCATAGAAATTTCTATTACTATAAGAGGAGAATGGATACTGGGGAGACAATTTAACCAACTCTATCGCAATAATTAAACTCACAGAGATAGAGAAATGGAAAAATCAGTGATGTTGATTACTTCCTAAGGTCAGTAAGAAGTGGGGGTCAAACTCAGCCTGATGCCACAGGCTGAGGTCTTTATTATTCTATACTCCCTCATTATACTCTTATGTCCTGCTCTAGAGTGCTTCATTGCATGAAAAGGAAATTTGTATTTTATGAAACTGTATTAACCATATCTTTATACCATGCAGAAAATATCAGTCACACAAAATTTTTTTACCAGTAGGACCTAAGTTTTCTTGAATTTTAAATGCATATGCTTAAAACCCATCTTCTTCATGTCTCCTCCTTAGAATCCACTAAAGTGGAAAAATGGTCATATTTCAGGAGTATACAAGGGAAAGAGTATCAAAAGGTGACAATAAAATACTGACAGGCTTCCGGGAAGATGGCAGAGGAGTAGGACGCGGAGATCGCCTTCCTCCCCACAGATAAACCAGAAATACATCTACACGTGGAGCAACTCCTGCAGAGCACCTACTGAACGCTGGCAGAAGACGTCAGACCTCCCTAAAGGCAAGAAACCCCCCCACGTACCTGGGTAGGGTAAAAGAATAAACAGAGACAAAAGAATAGGGACGAGACCTGCACCAGTGGGAGGGAGCTGTGAAGGAGGAAAGGTTTCCACACACTAGGAAGCCCCTTCGCGGGCTGAGAGTGCAGGTGGCTGAGGGGGAAGGCTTCGGAGCCGCGGAGGAGAGCACAGCAACAGAGGTGCGGGGGGCAAAGCGGAGAGATTCCCGCACAGAGGATCGGTGCCGACCGGCACTCACCAGCCCGAGAGGCTTTTCTGCTCACACGCCGGCGTGGGCGGGGCTGGGAACTGAGGTTCCGGCTTCAGTCGGAGCGCCAGGAGAGGACTGGGGTTGGCGGCGTGAACACAGCCTGAAGGGGGTAGTGTGCCACGGTTGGCCAGGAGGGAGTCCGGGGAAAAGTCTGAACCTGCCGAAAAGGCACGACACTTTTTCTTCCCTCTTTGTTTCCTGGTGCGCAAGGAGAGGGTTAGATTAAAAACGCTGCTTAAAGGAGCTCCAGAGACGGGCGCAAGCCGCGGCTAACAGCGCAGATCCCAGAGACGGGCATGAGACGCTAAGGCTGCTGCTGCCACCACCAAGAAGCCTGTGTGCGAGCACAGGTCACTATCCACACATCCCCTCCCGGGAGCCTGTGCAGCCCGCCACTCCCAGGGTCCCGTGATCCAGGGACAACTACCCTGGGAGAACGCATGGCGAGCCTCAGGCTGGTGCAACATCACGCCGGCCTCTGCCGCCACAGGCCCGCCCCACACTCCTCCCTCCCCCCGGCCTGAGTGAGCCAGAGCCCCCGAATCAGCGGCTCCTTTAACCCCGTCCTATCTGAGTGAAAAACAGACGCCCTCCGGCGACCTACACGCAGAGGCAGAGCCAAATCCAAAGCTGAGTCCCTGGGAGCTGTGAGAACAAACAGGAGAAAGGGAAATCTCCCCCAACAGCCTCAGAAGCAGCAGATTAAAGCTCCACAATCAACTTCATGTATCTGCATCTGTGGGATACCTGAATAGACACGAATCATACCAAATTGAGGAGGTGGACTTTGAGAGCAAGATTTATGATTTTTTCCCCTTTTCCTCTTTTTGTGAGTGAGTATGAGTATGCTTCTGTGTGAGATTTTGTCTGTATAGCTTTGCTTCCACCATTTGTCCAAGGGTTCTATCCATCCGATTTTTTTCTTTTCTTTTTTAATTTTTTTCTTAATAATTACTTTTTATTTTAATAACTTTATTTTATCTTAATTTTCAATCTTTCTTTCCTTCCTTCCCTCCTTTAGACAACGAATCATCCCAAATTGAGGAGGTGAACTTTGAGAGCAAGATTTATGATTTTTTCCCCTTTTCCTCTTTTTGTGAGTGTGTATGTGTATGTGTATGCTTCTGTGTGAGATTTTGTGTGTATAGCCTGGCTTCCACCATTGTCCTAGGGTTCTATCCGTCCGTTTTTTCTTTTCTCTTAATAATTATTTTTTTATTTTAATAACTTTATTATATTTTATCTTATTTTACTTTATCTTCTTTCTTTCTTTTTTTGCTTCCTTCCCTCCTTCCTTCCTTCCTCCGTCCCTCCCTCCCTCCGTCCCTTCCTTCTTTCTTTCTTTCTTTCCTTCTTGCTTGCTTTCTTTCTACTTCTACTAATTCTTTCTTTCTACTTTTTCTCCCTTTTCTTCTGAGCCGTGTGGATGAAAGGCTCTTGGTGCTGCAGCCAGGAGTCAGTGCTGTGCCTCTGA